CATATATGCTATCTATCTCTTATCTATGAACATTTGGCATCTTCCTTCTCTCAATAAGTTAAGGTTAGGGGTTGACTGCAATTTTGAGAAGAAAAAAAAAGGTTTCGTATTTTGAGAGAAGCTGCAAATGATGTAGGCTCTTGGGGGTGACAACTCCAAAGGATCTGTTGGACATAGAGTCTTGAGATCCTTAGTGAACATGGAACGCGAAAAGCCTGGTTCTTCTGAAGCTTTTATCGCCAAACTGATTGAACAGTTGGGAAGGTGCGGGAAACTCTAAAACAACCAAAACACACACACACTCGCGAAGTTGCGTACATTTATCAGTCATCTTATTGTCAATACTTTGATCTGATGAAACTCGAAAATTGTCATGCAGTTCAAAGGAAGTGTCAGTGAAAGAACTGCAAGACATGGCGATCCGTGTGTTCGGTAAGACAGTGACCAATGATGCAGAAAACAAAAGAAAGCAAGCTAGCAAAGAGTTTACTTCCAATACAAACGTTAGCCCACTTGGAAGATTCTTATTCTCAAGGTTTGGCTGATGATAAGCATTACGACTTTCCAGAATTCGTAGACAGATTGATGATAACTTCAAGTGAGTTCTTTTTCTTTAATTTATTTTCTTTGTGCTTGCAGATGGTTAGGTCAAACATCGCGTGATCTTAACCCAAGTTGAGACACGGACAGAAGACAGAACATAAGAATGGTGTTTGTGTGTGTCTTTTACATTGATTGATGCATTGAATTTTGGAATTTATGTGTATAATTTTTCAGCAACAAAGGGTGTGTGTATTTATAAAATTTTAAGTTCCTTCTTTTTTTTTTGTTGTTAATTGTCCTTTCCTTTCCATATTGGGCTCTTTTATTTTACCTTTATTTTTCCTTCCTGGTTTTTTCGAGAGGAAGCATATTCTTAGTTGTATACTTAAGGGCTTGCCTTTTATCTTTTGACAATATGTAATCACTCTTATCATTTCATTCATAACCATTACTCATTAATCGGTTTTCAATAATTCTGTTAATATGGTCATTCCGATATGGTTTTCTTTGGGCCTCTGAAGATAATGTCAAAATCGAAGAATTTTTTTGCTCTCTTTGATCGGGGTTTTGTTCCTTTGGATCGTCAACCGGAGCTTTGCGGTTCTTGTGGACATCACGTTTAACGTTATAGCGTTTCTTTAAGTCTTGAGTTCTCAGAGAGAACAAAAGGTGTATATAGTAAACTTCTCAAGGGGTCTTCAATCTTTGTAATGGTCTGGGGCTATAGCGTAATCTTTATGTCTTTCCATGTTCTTCAAGTGTCATTACTTCTTGCACCTTTCACACGGTTGGCCAAGATATTTTTGATAAACTTCTTCTCGGTAGGTAGGTGATTTGAACTAAAGCTTCCAAGAAGAAGGAAAGGGCTTGAAGCTTTTACCCAGTAGAGCTCCCATTGCTCTTTTGGAATTTGAGACGGTTTGATCTTATAATATATTTGAAGGTCGAGAGACTTGACATGAGATACGAGGCTTTCAAACTCTCCATTTGCCTCATTGTAAAATCCCACTACCCTGTTGTGAATGATGATCAAAGTATCAAACATAATTTTTTTTTGTTGGTTCTATATATATAGTATTTTTACTTTTGCCGTCCAACACTTGCTGCTGCACCACCTTTTCTAACTTCATCTCAAACTCAAACTAACGCAATGTCTTTGGATTATATTGGATTGTCTAACCCAAAGTGGTCACATTATGCATATCTGATGGAACAGACGATTAATACATTAGTAAAAAGACATATATATTATTCCCTCTGTATCAAAATATAAGTCGTTTTGGGAATTAGTTTTTGTTTTAAAATATAAGTTGTTGAATGCGAATGTTTGATGTTTTTTTTTTCATTTTTGTCACTATTCTTTTAACTTATTAATTAATGTCAACACATTATATTGTACATTATAGAAGAATAAAACAGAAAATTAAATTATTTTCTTAATATGTGTGTAAAAATCTAAAATGGACCTATCTGTGTGTAAAAAAACTAAAATAGACCAATATTTTAAAACGAAAGTAGTAATATGAATCTAAACTAATAATCTTGAGAAAAGAAAAATAAAATAATGAAGTAGTTTGTTTTGACCATATCTATATATATATATATATATATATTAACATTTGCTTCTATGTATTTCTTAGAAAACGACCCTTTTACAAAACTGCTTTTTTTTTTTTGCAAAAAAGGTACAAAACTGTGTTTTTAGCTACCTTTATTGAAAAATTGAGAATTGAGAAAGAGAGTTTAGAGAAGACTTAATCTCTTAGGCACTAATGTAAAAAATACGAGCAATCACGGTGAATGCCAATAAAATATTCTCAAAGTTTGATGAAAAAGATGATAATTTTTACTTATCCTAACATGTAATAGTTCTAATAAAATTTTTTTTTTAAAAAAGGTTTTTACCAAAAAAACAAAATCTATTATAAAGGTCCTAAAGAACAAGTAGTTTTTTCTTCGTTCGGTCAATGGTCGAAAACACTCATTTACGTATTTACGTTTTGCTACATACAATGTTTTATTTTTGACGAGCTATATACAACGTATTAATCGCATACAATGTGTACGTGTCCTTTTACAAAGCTTTTAGACACAGGGACAAAAACAAAGCTAAGCTAAAAAAAAAATTTACGTAGATACGTAAGTTGTCCCTTTTTGGTCGGAGAAGTGGTCAAAGTCACAAAGAACGAAAGGACCCAGTCACAGAGTTTTTTTCATACTGTGTTGTTTATGAAAATCATAGAGTCACAGTCACAGAGTGCAACAAACGGAGTTTTGTATTACGCCGTTATCATCTACGTGGCTCAAAACACCGCGCCACAAAGCAGATTTGTGGGACTAGGTTATCTCAGCCGACGTGCCAAGAGTGACTGATTGTCACCTTCACATATCTTACAGCATCACGTGTCACAACACGTGGCATTTTCACATTGGGTGTTATTGCAAAATATTAATAATGTGCCTCCTGGCCCTTATTTTTTTTTTGCATCTTTCATGCTGACCCCTTTATTTCCGTTCGGAGAATAGTACTAAAGGAAAAACTACAAATTCGTACTCCAATGACCGGCATACGATACATACTTCAATACAAAAATTCATACATACACATATTCCAATTCTTATTTTTATAAATTTACATATCCAAATTATAGGTTCGTGACTAATACACATTTTACTCGTTATGGGGATTCGTCAAACGGCAAAATGTTACATGTTATGTAAATGTTACATATTTTATATAAACTGCAAACATGGTAACATTTTTGCATCCCCTCACCCTTCATACGTTTTTGATTCTCAGCCGGACGCATTTGATTAAATTTTGAATATCCATTCACACCTTTTTTGTTCAGGTAGATCAATCGGTTCAATGTTATTTAAACCGGTAATATCATGTGTATATGAATTGAAGTTCCGTTTAGTGAATAATATTTCAAAATATTTATGTTTTGTATAATTGTTGAAAAATTATCAAGGCTGATTTTCTACTTATATAATATTAGCTCGTGAGATCTCTCTTGTTGTTAAATTTAATTTTGTTCTTGTTATCTTATTATGAAAGTTAGAGAGAGAATTGATTGTAAATAAGAAAGACATCTTATAATTTTTTTTTCCCTCCTGTGGTGTAATCAATTTGAAGTATTGTAAATATTGTATTACACATTTCTTTTTTAACTAATAATCCAAACCAAAATCAAACTAAAACCCGAATTACACCTTTTGAAAAAAGAGAGGAATTGTACTTTTCAAATCAGTAAAAAAACAGGAAAGATATTAAGATATTAACAACTTTGAATATTTCTTTTACATTTCAGTTAAAAGTTTAAATAGAAAAGTTGACATAAATAGTATCGTGTTTTAAGTTTTAACGAAGAAAATTACAGAAATCCGACGATGAATACAAAAAATTCTAAAAACGCTGGTGTTTTACGTAACGTAAGTCATCATTCACAGTCCACATAATTTTTACAAAGTTCAATATTTTTTCATTGAGAATAATAAAATTCAAGATTTCAAGTGCGTCGCTATAGCTCGTAAAATAAATAAGCAAGCCGGCAAGAAAATAAATAAATAAACAAGAGATGTAAAAGGGATAAGTGGGCCGAATATCGGCGTCCGTGCCCAACAACAGTCTTTTTAATGCCAAAACTAAAAGCCGAAAGAGGAAAACAATTACTACGTCCGTCCACGTGGAAATGATGATGAGCAGCAGTCGTTGGATCTGAGCGATGGTGCTTGACTGCTTATTATACGTTTTGAAAGCGAAGTCGGCGACAAGAATCCAATCAGATCTCACCTTCCCTGTCCCTCGTTATGAAGCCGCCTTATCATCTTAACCTCCTTAAAAAACGTCATCGTTTTACCATTTCAAACTTGTTAGTTTTGCAGGATTAGTCCTTTAAGTTAATAGATGGTCTGCAAAACTTAAAAGTCAAAAGGTAGTCCAAACTGTGAAAGTAGGGCCCATGAGTATGACGTAAGCGTAAAGAAGTATTCTTCTAACATACGCCGCAGCCAAAGGTGGGGTCCTCCCACGACTGGTGCGTGTGTTCAGGACACTTGGACCATTGTTTTCAAGCCGACAATACTCAACTAATTTCTATAAATAAAAATATAACTTCAATTATCTTATTCTTAATTATATATTTTTAACACGACCTCAAAAAGCGCTAATAATTACCTTTTATTTTTCTAATTTTAAAGTTGCATGACAATGACACAATATTTTTTTCACCAATCAGAAAGAGAAAAAATGGAAAATTGTTTCAGCTGCATGCTATTGAAAAGCAGAGAACAAAGATAAAATTTCCCTATTTTTTTGATAGGGCCTAGTAAAAGTGCCCTATACAAAATTAAAGAAGAATAATTCCTCTAGAATTTCAGATAAGTCACACCCTCGTTATAATGCATGTCAGCATGTGAGAGGGCTATTGACCACGGAATGAAGTTGAGAAACCACTAAACCAGTTATCAAAAAAAAGGAGAATACAGATCATATATATATGTAACAAAAGTTCATATATATCTTTTGACTTCTGTTACGTTGATTATAATATTTACATAACGATCTTTCCATGTCAGCTTATTTAACTATCTCGATTTTCTTCTAAAATACGGATAACATATTTTTTTTAGATAAGAAAAAAAAAAACTAAGAGGAGAACGCGATTTTCTCTTCATAAGAAAACGCGACGCGTCACAGACTAAACAACGTTCGGACAAATGAAAAGAACCTGACGGCCTATTCCGCAGGAGGAGCCAAATTAAGATCCAGATCTAACGGACGATATTTCTTCTCGGCTCCACACTCGAAATCAACGACGGACGACGAATCTGACTCGCTCTGGACCCCACACGTTGCCGCCGCCGCCGCCGGAAACGTCGTCATGTTATAGAAGTAAACAGGACGACGTGCAACCGGAATCTGGTAACACGCGCCGCCACCACCGCCGCCTAAACTGAGCTCGAGCTGCGGAGGTGTCACCAATCGCGCCGACGTCGGAGAGACAGAGTCGACGGTGCTGCTCTGACTAGGACTGCGAGCGAAACCACCGTCTTTAGCCGCGTTAAGCTCGAGAAACGTCGGGAAATTCGTCTTAGCCTTAGCGCCGCGAAACTCACGCGCTGCAGCGTCGTAAGCACGCGCCGCTTGCTGAGCCGTGTCGAACGTTCCGAGCCAGACCCGAGTTTTCTTACCCGGATCTCGGATCTCCGCCGCGTATCTTCCCCATGGACGTTTCCTCACGCCTCTGTAACGAATCTCTTTGGCATTACTCTCGTTCGGGTTCGGGCTCGGGTTGGAGTCGGGTTTGAAACCCATTTTCGTCATGAGGATGATCAAAAACTAATAATTGTGAAAGAAACGAGAAGATCGGTGAAAGAGGTATGGTAATGAGAAAAGAAGCGTCTTTTTATAGGGAGAGAGAGAGTAAAGCGAACGCTCCTTTTGGGGAGCTTTCCTGTGAACAGTCAAAGCCATTTTGATGGTTTATTACAGAGAACCGGTTTTTTGGGGTTCTCTTTTGTATTATCCACTTATATATAACCACGTGTTTACTGCTTTTGCTGCAAAGATTCTTGTTTTTTTTTTTTACCTCGAAGTTTTTTTTTATTTATCTTCAAATGTAGTCTGCACAAACCACAAGACGTTCAACGACATATGAGTACGACTGATATAGAATGCAAATTAGTTGAGAGTCTAGAGGCTATATGTTTCATCTATCCGTATTAAATCTATACATGTTTGTTATATGGAAGACTTCCAGATTGTATATGATTCCGGTAAACGTCTTGATTTGGGTGTCGACATTTCTATATTAGAATAAACATATATATCTATCAGTTGCATACTTATTTTGTAAAAAGTGAATATTACAACTATTATATAGAAAAGGAAGGATTTTTTTATTATATCAAATAAAATAAAACTGTTATATACTTATATTCATCAAGAGAAAACATTATATCAAAAAATTTATAAAATACATCAACATTAATGTTAATTATATCAATCAAAATACGATTATAAAAATAGATTCATTATTATATCAAAAAATTGTTGATTATAATCTTTTTTTGACTAATCAAAAAAAATTAGAATACAATGACCAAAAAACTACTATAACGATATAAATATTATTATAAAAAAACAAAATTACAAAATAGAATAAAATAAATATTTTTATATCGGATATGACAATAAAAATAATTTATTATTATGTCAAACAGACTATTGATTGCGGCAAAATTATCTTAAATTATATTGAATAAAATTTCGGATACAACGACAAAAAACAGTTTTTATGTCGAACAAATTTTTTGGTTAGAATAACAGAAATAAACTTTTTATATCAAAAAAAATCCTGCCACGAGAAAGACGCACGGAAGAGGTATGCTCAGCGCGCAGAAGATCTGTTAAGAATTTCTGACAAAAAATATATTATTTTATCAAAAAAAATTGTCGGCTACAACGACAAAAAAAGTTATTATATAAAACAAACAATCGGATACGCTAACAAATTTTTCGATTAGAATAACAAAAATAAACTTTTTATATCAAAAATGATCATCGAATACGACAAAAAATATATTATTTTATAAAAAAAAATTGTTAGCTATAACGACAAAAGGTTATTATATAAAATAAATTATCGGATACGCCGATAAAGTTTTTTTAAAATTATCAGATTTAATAGCAAAAAGTGATTATAGGAAACAAAATTCTTGAATGTTATAGTTTAACAGATATTTTTGGATCATTATTTTGATTCAATTCTATCTAGAATAAAAATATAGTTATTTAATCATTTAATTATAATTTTACGTAATTTTTAATTAGCTTTACGAATATTTTATAAGTAATAAATTTTTGTGTTAAAATAGTTTTGTTAACGTAAAAGTATTTTTTTTTGTGGCATGCAAAAAGTTTAAATGATATAAATAATTCACATAAATCAGGAAATAGATTTACTTTACGTAACGAATTTTTTTGATTAATATCATGAAATAAGTGTCTTCTCCGTTGAAGAATGCCGTTTTAACATATATATTTTTCCACTTTTTACTAATAGACTAAATATTTTGGCATCTACTTAAGAAGCTATGATAATATGTATAAGTTTCTGCAATAAAAACACAAGACGATATTTCATTGAAACAAAAACAAAAATCTAAAATATAATCTTCATTAGTCCTCACAAATCACAAATCACAATAGCTATAAATATAAATAATCTGAAGCATCTAATCACATGCGGTATTAAAAAAAAAATAGATATGTTCACTGAAGTTGAATTAAGTATAAAAATGAATTTCACGTTACTCATTAGCCTAGGTGTTACGCAGTTAAAATTGTTCTTTTAAGAAAGAAAAAAATTGTTAAAAATTGTGGTCGAAAATATACAGATACTGGAAATAAATTGGTACCGATATTACGAACGAGGGAGGTATTAAAAGTTTATTAAAGAGACGCAGATTTTGGCATTAGAATCTGGAAATTACGGACAAACGACTTTAAATTAAAGAAATACAAAATGAAGCAGCGGCGCATCAAAAGCTGAGAAAATTTGGAAACGTGGCACAATCACGAGGACGCGCGGCTCAGGAACCGCGTTTTAATGTAAAACGCGTGAGGTTCACGTCTCAGGGTCCCACTACCGTCACTCTCAGAGCCGTTTCAAGGAATCGATTGTAAAGAAGAGCGTTATGCGTTTGGCTGATTTTCGGGTGACATAAGCCAAAGTAGCCGCCCTTCCCCTTAAAACCTAAAATTTGGGTCCCACCTCACATTTTTTAAACAATTCTTTTTTCCATTTTTCATAATCTTCTAATGCCACGTGATCGAAGAGACGCGTGGCTTGCGATTAGGGGAGGAGACAATCGATTCCCGCGTCGGTTAACCGCAATTTTAACGATGGTGGGCCCACCGTCAATTTTAAAGTTCGAAAATACGGAATTAATTTTGACGGCAGGAGGAGACTGAAACCGTGAGGTTCTGGATTTTTTTTTTCCTTTAATTAGTTTAATTATTGTGATTTGTGTTTTTTTCCCTTAACGATTCGGTCAACAGTCGACACTTAACACCTACTTATGTCTTCACGCCTTGATTAATGGATTGAGTTATCTGGTGCCCACAAATTAAATTGTAATTAAACAATTTAAACATCATCATCATTAGACTGTATTTATTAATTATTTAATTACGACCATATATATAACGTTGAATTCAAAAAGCTCTTTCTCAGTTCATACAATGGATATCCATTAATATTCAGTGGACTTAATTTCATATTATAACCGGGTTAATGCCGTATCATAATATCCCCAAAAAAAACCATTTGGAGTTTCTTATCATGCCAAATTTTTTTATAAAAAAATTAATGTTATCTTGCAGATACAAAATGGTACTATTAATACCCTTGTTACAAAAAAATGGTACTATTAAATAAATAATTGAGCCAAATATCAGTGGTTCTATTAAATAAATAATTTAGTTTCTGGACTCACATCAAAATGTTGATAGTGCAACCACAAGTTAGAATTATATTTTGGCTTGTTGACAAGACCACGTATTGATTTTTCATTCAACCAATATACATAAGAGATATAGTTAAAAAGCATTTTCACATACGTAAAAATAACATTTTCCCGTTTGTTTATTTTAATATTTTTAAAACTATTTCTATTAGAGTTAGGTGGTTAACCGGTTGATTATTATTGGTTAAGCTTCCCTTTACTTAACCAAGTCTATATATATTTGTACAGTGACATTTACAGTTGAATAACAGAACATTTTTTACCATTCTCTCTCTAAATCTAATATGGTATCAGAGCTTTCTCTCTCCTTCCGCAACAAACTTTTTTCTTCACTCGAGCTTTGATTCTCCATGATTCAAGCTTGATTCTTCTTCATTTTCTCTGGATTTCGAGTCGAATCTCTTCAAATCGGAGTTTCGATTCCTTTTTCGATTTTTTTTTTTTTTTTTTAGCTCCATTTTGCTCAATTTCATCTCGATTTCATCCTTCTTCTCGTAGTTTTGTCGTTCGCTCAATCAATGGCGAATCCAGCTACGACCTCCAATCCTAATCGTGATTCATATGATAATCCTTACTATCTCAGTGGAAGCGATCATTCCGGACTTCTTCTTGTTTCAGATCGTCTCACCGGTGCTGGAGATTTTGGTTCATGGTATGAGTCAATGATAATGGCATTAAACGGTCGCAACAAACTCTGTTTCGTTGACGGAACTCTTCCGAAGCCAAATGATGGTGATAGAGACGCAGCTGTGTGGTCTCGTGTCAACGATGTGGTTCGATCTTGGCTTATGAATTCAGTATCGAAGACAATTGGTCAAAGCGTTCTCTACGTCAAGACGGCACAAGGAATCTGGGAAAAATTGCTTAAAAGATTCAAGCAGAACAATGTTCCTCGTCTTTATCAGATCGAACAACAACTTCATGGCTTGCGTCAAGGTTCGTTAGATGTCAACTCATTCTATACTCAGTTGATTACAATTTGGGAATCTTTCAAGAGTGCTCAAGATTTTCCGACTTGTCGTTGTGCTAATTGTAATTGCGATGTCAACACGAAATGGATGGAATTGTTTGAAAGGAATTTTGTGATCAAGTTTCTTTATGGACTGAATGATTCTTATGAAACGGTACGAGAACAAATTATCATGATGAGTCCTCTACCGGATCTGGAGAAGACCTTAAATATGGTGATTCAGCATGAACATCAAAAGATGATCAAGCAAGTTCCGCAGTCTGAGGCAGTTGTTTTTCAGATGAGCAACATGGCTCCTCAAGCTACAGATCCAAATTTCTCAAACAATGGAGGCTATGGAAATGTTTCTTTTACAAATGAAACTATTGGAGCAGTTTCTGGTGGCTATAAACCAAAACAGCGACCTATGTGCACATATTGTGGTCTTCAAGGACACACTGTCAACAAGTGCTACAAACTTCATGGATATCCACCTGGATACAAGTCAACATATGTTCCACCGCAACAAAACTATGCTCCAAAGTCAGCTCCTCCACAACAAAATCCATCTCTTCAGCAACAGAATCAAAATTTCCCGCAGCATCAACAACATGGTTCACAGTTCAAAGGTCAAGCTCAGAAAGGACCTCGTGAAAATATGGTTGGCAATGTGGTTACTACTTCCCCGGCTGTGCAAGATCATTTTCACCAAGTTTCAAATGCTTTAGCACAACTCTCTGAGGAACAACTTCATCAATTGGCACAACAACTCACGAACAAAGCTCAATGTTCTATGCCAACGATAAATGAAGTTCCAGGAGTCTCTTATGGATCTACATCAGCAGGTAACCTCATTTGCTCTACAATGCTGGAACCATGCCTTAATTTCACTGCTTGGATTATCGATTCTGGTGCGACA